TATAAAACAGGATACTCATTGGAAAAGAATGCTACAACGAACATATAAGTATATGAATAAAATAGAATACTAACAGAAAAGAATATCTGAATGGTAGAATTATTAAAAGAAAACTCGGCCGTTACACCTGAACCTGGCTGATGCAAGTCTGAGGCCAGGTTACTCCCTCAGCGGATCTCCTGGAACCACTGGACAAACAAGCATGCTGGTCAAAACATCCTTCCCAGAAACACACTTGCATGCCTACGCACACACACACACACATACAGTAGTGACTGTTTAACGAACACCTCGGTTAACGTAATTTTAGATTGAACTTCCTTCCATAAGGATCTTCAATTTGGTTAACGAAAAAAATTCATTTACGAAGTTCTTACGAACCGACCTCAACATGTTTTTAAGCACTGACGGGTAACCAGCTTTAGTATCAGTCATAATACATTTGTCGGTTCTAGGGCTTAAATTCTTACTAATTTAGTAAATATCCAAAGTTTATACTATTCAATAATTTTAAGTTTAATATTCAATTTTTTAGTCATTTAACAATGTGAACATAACTGAAGGAGTAAAGTGACTAGTTTGTCTGGCGGCATCCAACATCTTAACACAGCAAACAGGAGTTAGTCTCTCTGTTTTCACTGGAGAGTAACATCTTGCTTGAGACTCTCTTCAACTAAAATGCTTTTTCTGTGTTTCCAAGCAAATTGTGGTCATTTGAAATATATTTTTACATATTGACAATATATAATGCAGTGCAGTGTTGATTCAAAAGAAAATAATCCCAGATTTACACCAAAGAGGCTAAAAATTTTATGGAATTTGAAATAGGCGCCGTAGAGATGACTTCTCTTCCACCCCAATGCCTTCTCTTTTTCCCTCTCCTCCACCCCCATTCTAAATCCATCATCATCATCATCATCAGGCCTTATTCTACATACATCTCAAAGTAAGTGAACTTTTCTACCATTTTGGTGAATTTAGGAAATTTTTCGGTGAGCTGGAACCAATTAAAACCCATTGAAACAATGGTTTAGGTTAACCTAACTTCGGTTAGCAGGCGACCTTCTGGAGCGGATTGAGTTAGATTAGCGGAGAATCACTAACATATATATATATATATATTATGTACTATATATTATATTATGTCAATAATAACCAATAATAATAATAATAATAAATAAATAAATAAATATTGAGGTGATAGCATTGGTAACATTATGAGATATTTAATTATCACCATGTTATTGTACTATTCGGATGATACTAAATGTTACATTATATTTCCTTGGGAATAGAAATGTATAGTATATATCAGGTGCAGCTCAGGTTCTCCAACGGCTCCAGCCATGTTAATATTGTTATTATTATCTACTCTGTATCTGTGTTTTCTGGCTAATAAACTGTTTCACTTCAATTCAATGACCACCTCTGATGTAGGTGGCCATTAGGAATTGAATTTAGTCAAGCTTAGCAATAACTAATCTTGACATTTTGTTTTTTATACCTGATGTTACACAACTGCTTGTATACTTAACACTAACACTTTTACACTAAACATTCAAATATTTATACCAAAAACACACACACTTTTTAAACAACTACAAGTGCATATAAACACACACTTTCAGAGAATACACTATTGTGTATTTTAATCTAGATTAAACAGCATATAAGAGCATCTTTGTATGAAATTTAAAAGCCAAAATCTATACCCATGTACTCAAACCTAGAATAAAGTCCTTAATTTTGATTGGGAATACTGTTACTGGATGTTTTCTTTTCTGGAAAGTGAGCGATAAAATGTAAATTATAAAGTTAGCCGATATTCTTGAAAAGGCATACTCAAGAAAGTTGCGCAATTTACGGGCACAGTAATTTATGTTTTAAATACTACAGTACAGTGGGGAGGTATGCTATAACAGATAATTGGTTCTAGAACCTTGACCGTTATAACGTTAGATTTGCGTTATAGGATTAATCCATTTCCAGGCTAAATACAACCACTTAACACTAGAAAAATATAATATAAAATTGTAAAATTGTAAAAAGTGCATAAATATGCATCTAAGCCCTGAAATAAAGAATATCATTAATATTTGTAATGAAACAATAAATTAGGGAAAAAAAGATTAAATAATGTTACGTTGTAGGAGTTTTCGTTCGTTATAGCATTCTCAATTTTATAGAGTAAAACTTAGATTCGTTATAGGAATATTAAGTAGTAGGATCCGTTCGTTTTAGCATACCCCACTGTACTGTACAGTACATGATTTACAAGCATTAGACAACATGATGTTAAGTAACAGAATACCTGTGTAAGTCTCACCTCCCACAGGTCAGAGTGTTTCATCAGTTGCTGTTGATGGCATCACAAATGAGCCTGTCCACAGGTCAGAGGTGTTCATCAGTTTGTATGGTCTTAGCTTGTCATGCGAGTGTGTTGTTGGTCCTTAAACTTCCTGGAAATAGATAAATAACTATGGCGTGCTGTATAATACACAACAATGCACTGTAAAACTATTATATTATAGGCAGGGGTTGTTGACCAAGCATCCGGCTTAATAACCACGTTATTTGACTGGGATTTAAAATAAAGCGTGCTTTTGGCCACAGAAAATTATAATATTTTACTAAATGTACCAGTATTGTGTCGTGATAGCCAAAAAAGATAGTCTAATTGGTCGGCCCAGTCTCTATTTCAATTAATCCCATATGTTCTGGTATTATATTTCGTTTAAACTTTATCTGCCCGGACCTCACAAGTTTAATTAACAAGCGTAAAACCAGACTATAC